TTTAAATTAGCAGAAGAAAGACACTGGTGAAGTATGATGGTTGAGGCTGAGGAGAGATTTGCAAAGCTTATACTCTTTAGATCAGAATGCTTAATTGAATAGCTCTCATGCAACCCAACCAGCCACCCGAAAGAAAAAGAAGATGAAATCCCGTTGCAGATTTCTTAACCTTACAGGCATGTAGCCGTGTCTCACCTGAAAGCATATCACATTAATTTGACATTAATGAGAAGATCAGGGTTATACTGATTGATTGGCATATTGAGGTAAAAACTAATCATAAAAATTTGACTTCCTATGACAATGTATATAATATAAAGTAACATTATATCATTTTGCAATCACTATTGTATAGTTTTCTAATCAAATTCTTGAATTAATACAAAAGGTCATTACAAATGTGAACTTAGAGATGAGACCCGATTTCTAAATTCTAACAGTGCATCTATTACTCTATTACACAGATTCCTAGCTAAACATACTACGGTGAGAAAGAAGCTCCATTTAGTGGGTTTAATTGAATGCTTTTTGCATGCAAATTTGAAGAAGTTTTTGTACAAGTTGTTGAAGACTTTATTTTTATTTTTGACAATGCTTATACTAGAGATGATATTCTATAAATGGTAGTTGATTTACTTTGAAAATCTGAAATAAAATCCAATTCTGGAGCATAATAAGTAGTATTAAGTAAAAATTTCTTGCTGCACCTAACTTATACGGGGTAATCGAAATTACTCAAAATAGGTATTTAGTCCTTAAATCCTTTACTTGTTGCGTCTCATGTGTACTCTATGTTTGATAGGATTTTTCTCTAAATATCAATATCCATTAGGTGTGATGAACTAATACTTTTAATTTGTTGTGTTGTTAATGCTGGACAATGGAGGAACGTGAGTGCTGCAATTCAAGATTCTAGGGACAGATTAAGGTCTCTGAAACCAAAATTTGTTCAAGATGCCCTGCTATTTCTTAAGTCCCCATGCAGGTTCCTGTTGTCTTCTTATGTCTGTCGTACATTGCCGGCTAATCATGTGAAGGATGCTAAAAAAATTTGATCTTCAGTATGGTATTCTGAAGTATACTATCTTGACATTTGACTATGTTGGGCATTAAAGAATGGACTTCTGAATTTGATGTTACCAAAATGGTTACCGAGATTAAAGTTAAGTGCTTCAGGTATTTATTTAGCTATAAATTTTGAGGCTTGGAAGGGAAAGAGTGAGTGTTATGATTTATAAATAGTACTCTGTATTATAATTTCCAACTCTAATTCCACTATATTTGACCACATGTTTACTGACGGAAGAGTGTGTGTGTGTGTGTGTGTGTGAGAGAGAGAGAGAGAGAGAGAGAGAGAGAGACCTATGAGTTATGAAAGGTATTAAAAAGTAAGAAACAAGGAGAAGAGCTAAAGAGAAAGAGTATTTAGGAAAATTAAGGAAGGAGAGGGATTCTTTGCCTATATGCACCTTTTACAAGTACATTTTGAAAAAGGGAGGATCACAAGGCTGTAGTAACATCGACTCTTGATAATTTTTTACAAACACGTAAATAATCATTCTCATCTCTTTAGCTCTAATCTATTTAATGTTGTATTCTAAATCAATCTTTTATAACCAACCTCTTTTAGAATAAAGATTTCAATTACTTGCTCAAGAAATGCAATATTGTTATTTTATATAGCAATTATGAAAGACAACCGTGATTAAAATTCCTCGAAATTAATTTGGCCAAATTGGGGATGGAGGTGTGGTTGAAGGTGGTGAAAGTTATCATGAAAAAGTTAGTTGTTGTGAGAAATTGGCTCAACTTTTTAATAGTGCTGGTATTGTTGATACTATTAAGGTAATTTCAAAATTTTAAAAAAGATCAAGGAAAAGAGACAGAGTTGAAAGAGAGAGTTTTAGTTTGTGAAATAAAAAAAGAAAAAGAAAACTAAGGGAAGGAGAAACAAAAAAAGCAAGAAGGGGATTTCTATATATATATAGGGAGGAATCCGGTGAGAATAGGTTCATATAATTTAGAACACGCGAGTAAAAATTTAGAACATGCGACTCAAATTTAAATTTAGAACATATGACTAATAATTTAGAACATATGAATAATAATTTTGAACATGTGTGTGAGCAATAATTTAGAACATCTGATTCAAGAATTAGAACATGTGAGTAAAAATTTTAAAATTTTGCTTTATGAAATTTAGAACATATGATTAATATTTAGAACATCTGATTTAAAATTTAGAACGTGTGAATAAAAAATTTAGAGCACTTGGTATAAAATATAGAAAATGGGAGTAAAAATATTGAACATATATGTAAAAATATAGAACATGCGAGTAAAAATTGGAACATATGCTTTCGAATTTAGAACATATGACTAAAAATCTTAGAATACACGCACGTTTTAAAATTTAGAACATATAAGTTAAAATTTCGGAATAAGTCATTCGAAATTTATAACATCTAACTTAACTAATTTATGGTTTAGAAAATGTGAGTACCAAGTTAGAGCATCTGATTAATTTAGAACACCTGAAAAAAGTTTAGAACATCAGATTTAAACTTTAGAACATACGAGTAAAAATTTAGAACATAAAAAGAGTTCTCACATAAGAAAATTCTCACATAAAGAAAAATTATCACGAGAGCCTCCTATATATATATATATATATGGCCACTCATATTGCTACAATTACCATTTTAGAAAGTTTCATATATATTAGACCATCTCTAATGAGACTCAAGTTTGAGTATTGAAATACAAAATGAGTTATTTTTTACCTCCAACAGTGATACCATGCCCACTTCTCAATTTAGCAACTCATGTGAAGTCTAATTTCTCAATGGTGAGACTCTCTTAAAATATACAAATGTCACTTTCAATTTATGACCCATCAATTACTGTACGATTAAAAATAATAATAATAAAAAAGGTAAAACTTAAATAAATTACAAAATATATTAGAATATTGACAAGGGCCCACACTTTTTGTCAAATGAGACTCAAAGTTGAGTATCTAAACTTAGCAACTTTCTTTTGGAGTTGCTAAGTTTAGATACCAACTTATTGGTATACATTGCAAAAAATACCCTCTTTCTCCTAAAAATACTCACTTGAGTCTCACCATTGGAGAGGGTCTTACAACATTACCATATATGTACATGCTTTTTCTTTATATATGTCCTTATCACATGAGTCCATATCTTTATTTCTCTGTATCTCTCGCTCTCCTCATCTTAAATTCCGTGTTTTCTCTCTTTTGTTTCTCTTAGTGGCAATATTATTAGGGGAATAGAAAAAGTATATGGTATAAAAAGATATGAGATATATATGGTGTCATATACTCATATTAGTAAAGTAATATGATAAGATACTAGTGATAATTATTTAATATGGTATAGTATGATATGATGTGGTACAAGTATACGATACAATATGATACAAGTATGTATATGATATAACACGATATGATTTTAATGAAATTGACGAGAGATACATAATGATACTAAAGTAAATTGTGTGAGAGTAAAGGAGTGACCCTCATTAAATATAACGTGCTGATGCATTATTTAAAAGACAACTAGTGAGTAGCTTGGCGTTGCCCCGGGTTGCTACTATCAATCTATTAATGTGCGATCGATAATTTCTTAAAAAAGTTTTTAAAATTGTAATTGTCATTGTCAAACTAAAATTGAGTTTTATTTTTTTGTACATTTTTTTTAGTTGAACCTTGTGGTTTGCACTTACATAAATTATTTCACAAATTAAATACATACTTGATAAAGGGCTTAGTTGGTGAAATCGTTATCATTCTTATAAGAGGTTGAGGGTTTGATCCTTCTTATCCTTACGTTTTGGAAGTAAAATTGTAGGGTTGTGAGACATAGTAAAATGTCTCACAACTATTAAAAAAATAAAAAAGGTACAATGAAGAGAGAGAAATGTGGAGAGAGATAGGAAGAGTGAAAAAGGTAGTGTGGGCCCCACTTCACGTGCAAAACGGACAAAAGTTTAACGGGACCACTATCACTTAGTCTATATTTTGTTCAACTGAAACTCTAGTTGAATCTTTTTTAGTACCAACGAGACTACATTTTATATCACTGAGAGTGTATTTTGTACCATTGAAGTTCCAGTGGTATGATTTAACAGCTCAATGAGACATCTCTAAAATAACGTCTGAAATGTCTGTATTGCCCTTGTGAGGCATAATTTCATTGTCTCACAGCCCTCCGTTTGGAACACCTCGACGTGGCGCAACAAAAAGGAATACGTGGCACATCGACATTCTTGGGAACGCCTTTTAATAGATAGAAAAGATAGATTTAAATGAAATGACGTAAATAAAATAAGTTAGTGTTTGTTATATTTACCTTATTTTCACTTATTTTTAGTGAGGATACGTTCAAATAAGTACATAATAAATAACGCATAGTATCCATCGTTAACGATTAAGACTAGTGGTGTATTTGATCTCATTCACCCCCCTAGCTTTCGTCTCTGAGTGATAGTGTCGGCCAAGAGGAGTGCTTTCGCCGTTGGTGTTCTTTTTGATCTCTACGTATTTCACCGCTCCACTAGAAATTCCCTCTGCCCCTATTGTACTTCAGCTTAGTAGTTTCCATCTCCTGTCCAGGGTTGAGCCATGGGATTTGACGGCGGACTTAAAGTGCCCACTACAAACGGATTACGCTTGCATCCTTTAGCTTACCGTGGCTGCTAGCACAAATGAGTTAGCCGATGCTTATTCCCCGAATACCATCATTGCTTCTTCTCCGAGAAAAAGAAGTTCATGACCCGTGGGCCTTCTACCTCCACAAGGCAATGCTCAGTTTTGATAAGATCAAGAAAAATATGATTGAAATAAATTTTGATAATATTATACTCTTACTAAATAAGATAAGGTAAGATATCAAGTGAATAAAACACACCTTATTTCTTGTAAAAAAAAAAAAAAAAAAACACACTTTATAATGTCGATTCATCATAAGAAATACTCCGTCTATAGCCTTTTTACTCGAAAAATACAAAACTAAACCCGATTGCATAAACCGGGTGTATATTCTAATTTGCGAAATCGGAGAGATACAAAATATTATACGGGGGTAATCAATAAAAAAGAAACGATTGAACGTAGATCTGTCATCGTCTCTCAATCTCTTTCTCTCTCTTTATCTCTCAGTTTCCCATTCAACCGCACTTCACGATCTTCATTGAAGCACCTTCTGATCTTTCAATCCTCCATTCAACCAGTTTCCGAGGTAAGATTTGTAAAAGCATCGATTATCAATTTCACAATCTAGGGTTTATCTTTGATTTAATTCTCAGTACACTCAATTTAGGGTTCTTCTGTACTCGATTATTGAATTATTAGTTATGATTACTTAGGTTTATAAAGGTCGATTTTTGTTGCTAGAGAAGAAAATTTTGTGTTTTTCGAGTTTAATTTGATGTCTGAATAAAGTTTGCCTTTAATCTTAGGATGTAATTATGAAATTGAAATCGGACCTTTTCTCCTTAAAATTATGTGATTTTTTTTAGCCTAATTTGATAATTGAATCAAATTTGGTATTGTTATTGTGTTGCAGAGCCTTTAATGTTAGGATTGAACTATGAAATTGGACCTTTTCTCCTTGTGCTTCGGGCGGTTGCCCGGCTTGCCCCTCCTGCCCGGGCTCAGGGACGGACCTGGTTGTTCTTGTTGTTTATATTCTCTCCTTTCGCATCTGAATTGTTTGACTTATATTGTAATTTTTGTGGATAAAGTAGCAATATCAAGGTTATAGTTAGTTGTTTTAATACTCTATCTCTTACGCTTTTTGGGCCTTTTCTTTAACTAGTTTTGTCCCAGATCAATCATGAGTGACGAGGGTGAGAAGACCTGTCCACTTTGTGCCGAGGAGATGGATTTGACTGATCAGCAATTGAAGCCGTGCAGATGTGGCTATGAGGTTGAGTTTTTTCCATAATTTTTGTGGCTTTGTTTTACCAATTAAAAAGCGTTTTACTTCTTTTTTTTTTTTTCTTCTTTTACAATGTAGCGTCGTTTGCTTATGTGCTCTACCAGATCAATTTAGAGGGATGAATGACAGTTATGGCTTTGTAGTTTAGGGGTGATATTTAAAATCTGTTAATACCCTTTGGCCTTTGCTTCTTCATGGGCTCTTGAAGATGCTGGATTTTTTTAATGTCTCTTGTTCTTAGTTTTAAGCAATTGGGAATTTTGCAATATCTTGAACGTAAGACAATCTCTTTTAATGGTTAATTAATCAAATGTCAGGCTATTGTGTAATCATGCCAGTCCAAACCTTTTACTTCTGCTAAAGTGGAAGTTTGAGGCTGTATTATTGTGACATTTTGGTGTCTTATTATAGATGCATCATGCTTGATTTTATGTACAATCATAAGTTATATATATGTCCTCCGTTTTTTTAATATTGCACTATGAGAGTTGGGCACAAATTTTTTGGTAGTGGTAAAAGAAAGAGAGAGAAAGGTAAAAGTACAAAATTGCCCATGTGATGGTAAACATAAATTAAAGAAACAAGTGTTAAAAAGTAAGGGTAAATAAGGTATTTGTAGTGTGAACACAAATATTTGTTTGCCTAAAATGGATATGGTGCAATATTTGTAAAACGAAGAAAGTAGTATTATGACGAGGCATCAAATTTTAAGTTTTACATTATATCACTTGTTTGTTCTTCCTTCCGTCTATACTCAGCATATGTGGTGTCTACTTTGTATCAGAATTTGATTGAAGTTACTTCATACTTTTTATTGGAATAAAATTTGAATTCCCCTTTTCTTTGTATGTTCACTGTTTGTTTGACTCTTCTTCTTGTCCCTCTTGTGGATTCTGCTGTGTGCAGTAGGATTTTGTTTCGGTTGACTGGGGTTATGTTGGGATTTGTGCTCTGTATCCTGGTATGATTTTAGTAATTGTTCCATCAAGAACGTAAACTGGGCTGGTATGTTCAGTTAGGTAGCTTGCAAATAACTGCTTTAGGCACACAAATTGATTATGGCTGAGAGCCTGAGAAGTTGCATACACCATTTTTCATTTTTTTTTTTATCACGACTGTTCTTTCCTCCATTTGTCCTTTATTTTTCATTCCTTTGCTTGTCTTTAAATCTGCATCCGATGATGCAGATTGCAGAGTAATGAGAAAATTAATTCATTAATGGTGTTTTGTTAATGAAGCATAGAAGATAATCAGTTGGATGATTATGTGGAAGAGTGGTACGAGGCTAGGAGCTAGTACAAACTAAGGATCTAACCACTAATGATTAGATTTTTCTTGTTCTTCAAATTTGGCCTTGCATTATGGTCCATGTCTTCTTGACATTCATCCCTGTTAAAATGATGATAAAGAGTTAGTATCCTAATTTTGACGAAGCTTCATCTTCACTGCCTATTTTTGACAAGGAAAACAGTTGTGTGTTGCTTTTACTGAAAATCCAGCCCTTTTTTCCCTTGCTTCTTATTTTTATTTGTTTCAATTTTACGCTGTATCTAGTGGCTGTATCCTCGTAGTATGAGTTATTTTATCCATTGCAAATTTAATTTGATATTTTCCATTTATTTCTTATCATTTTGGTTAGTCTCTACATTACTCTTATTGACTTTATGACAGTAATAGTCTCTTTTTGTGTTGAACTTTTTCTTGCTGTTGACATGCTTTGAAGTTTAAACTTGTATTTTACTAGAAACTAAATTTGAATTATTATGTATAACTGTTAACAGATGGCTGCAACTGTATTAATTTCTTTGTGCTTTTGTGCAGATTTGTGTGTGGTGTTGGCATCACATAATGGATATGGCCGAGAAAGATGAGTCAGAGGGACGCTGCCCTGCATGTCGCATTGCATATGATAAAGACCGAATTGTAGGGATGGCTGCAAACTGTGAAAGGTTGTTTAACTGAATTTTTTTTTTTTGGTTAGGCCATAAATGTAACTATTATACTTCAGAATGTAACCTAAACCCAAAAAGAATGGAAGAAAAGTATGTCTCATCCCAGCTCTTTTCAGGTTGGTACAAGAAGTTAATATGGAAAAGAAGCACAAGTCACAGAAATCGAAGGTTAAAACATCTGATAGCAGGAAGCAGTTGAGTAGTGTGCGTGTAATTCAAAGAAATCTTGTCTACATAGTGGGCTTACCTCTTGATCTTGCAGATGAAGATGTGAGTGTTTTGTTGATTCCCCTTTTATCATCATATTCAGTTCGGTGCTAATTTTGGTGGTTAATTGTTTCCATTTTTTTGCAGCTTCTACAACGTAAAGACTATTTTGCCCAATATGGCAAGGTTTTGAAGGTGTCCATATCCCGGACTTCAGCTGGCACCATTCAGCAGTTTGCAAACAATACTTGTAGTGTGTAAGTCAAGTTATTGTCTATGTGATTGTTTCATAATATCCTAATTTTACTATTCATATATGTCTTTCTTCTCTTTACTCCTTATGCATGTGTTCTCTTTGCTGGCTTCATCGTAGTTTGCTTCTTGCTTGTGTTGTAGTCGATCCTCAGTGTTTATTGGCATAGCTAGCTTGCTCTGCGTCTTTTATGATATACGTGGTATAATTATTTCAAGTACCCAGTTGAAATGAAGATTACTGATTTCTTGTGATCAATTTTCCTTTATATCGTACTTGGTATCCATTTGGGGATAATTGAGTGTTGCTACTCCCTTGCACTGCTGCTTTATCTATGCTTGTCTGTTATGCCTCCTCTCATCCTTCTCTTGGCTGGTAGACTCGGTCAAGATCATCACTGTATGTTTTGTCCTATCGCAGCCTTCAGTACTCAGTGTTACTGTGGTAGGAAATGTGAACGGACGGTAAAAGGTGGAGGATGAAGTTGTTATTGTTATGGTATCTAAATTCTTGAATGGGTTTTATTTTAGAGCCAATTGCCTTGTTATAAAGATGGAACAAAATTGAAATTATCTGATTAATGTCTGTACTCTGTCTTTGCTGTTACAATATAGTTTAGGTTTAAGGACTCACTGAATTCCTATATTTGATGTGCTGCCATTGCTCTAGAAAGCACAATTTATTTTATTTAATTTTGTAAGGTTTTATTGTACCAATGAAATACATACATCTATCTGAAGGCATGACCGCATGTTCTGCTGCTTATTTTTGGGTTTCAGATATATTACGTACTCAAAAGAGGAGGAGGCAATTCGTTGCATTCAGTCAGTGCATGGATTTATTTTGGATGCCAGGCCTTTGAGGTGATTTGAGAATGGAATCATAACCTTCTTAGTGCTTGTTTTGTATTATTTAATACTACTTATCTTGAAAACTTCACTTTATTTTACAGGGCATGCTTTGGAACTACAAAATACTGTCATGCATGGCTAAGAAATGTGGTATGATATCTGAATGTTAGTTGATTTGTAATATAGAACAACTATATATGTTTAACATTCAGTGCTCACATAGTGTATTTCTTTTGTTTCAGCCCTGCACCAACCCTGATTGTCTATACTTGCATGAGATTGGTTCACATGAGGATAGCTTCACAAAAGATGAAATTATATCTGCTTACACAAGGTATTGATATGCCTGCTTGCTAAAAAGTAGGGTTTGCATTGCTCCTTGACAAGGAAAGGTTTGTTTAAGGACATTAAAATTCGGTAATGGGTACTTGGTAGCTTATGGCTCTAGCTTAGTGTATCTACTTGTGCTTTTAAAATTTTTGTTGGCCTTTGTAATCACTGTGGTTTAGAGGATAATGTGCTGGATTGAAATTAGAAAAATGATAAAGATGTAGACATTTCGTATTGCAAATTGCTGCATTCAAGTTGCAACTTTATGATAATTTTTTATTTTAAGTAATTGATGACTTGTTTTGCTTAACTAGGTTTATCCTTGGTGCAATTTTTATAACAAGTTTCTAATTCTTAAGATGTCAATTATACCTCTTTCTCACTATGCCACATAGTTTTAGGCCATCCTTAAATTATGGACTGCTTTTAAAATCTTGTAAATTTAACTTTGAAATTCCCACATTATCCTTCTTGAATTATGGGAAATTTAGTAAGCTCAATGAATTTAAAAGAAAGACTGTTAGTACGGTGGGGGATGAAAAAAATGTGTGGTGAATGATGGTTTTTCAATTTTACTCCATTTCTTTATAAATTTGCTCTATCAATTAAACCCCTTGTCACTACTCACTAGTGTCTTTCTCATTCATAGCTTTACTTTGGCTTTCTATTATGCATTGCCTTTTAATTTTGTTTGGTTTTTTCTTTTTGATCTGGTTAACCGCTCAGTATTAATGACTCGCTTTTCTTGAATAGAGTTCAGCAGATTACTGGGGTTACAAATAATATGCAACGGCGTGCAGGGGCTACATTGCCTCCTCCAGCAGATGATTATTGCAATAACAATTCTGTTGTAATAGAGAAGCCGACTGCCAAAAGTACTTCAACTGTAAGACCTCTTCCTTTTGTGAGGGCTATTTTTCCCATATTTTTCTTGAAAGACAGTATGGCTGCTTATGTGCTTTTTGAGAGCTCATGCTGTTGGCAAGGACTCAAATTGGCTATGATTTGTGGTTCTAGATTACATTGTGTGTGGTATACTCTTTTTTATAATTGCGACATTTTCCCTTGGCATGCATTAAAGATTGTCAACAGAGAAATTCGTTTGAAAATCTTGCACCGGTTGTTCAACTCTTCCCTAAACGTCTTAAAGTTATATTGATTAAATTGTCCGTTTACCTTCTTTAATGTCTTCCTGAAAATGCATGTTAGGGGACATGTTGTGATTATAAGAAAGCAAAAGAAGTATGTGACATTTGTAACATAAAAGGTTGTTTGACAAGCTGATATAGGTTGGTACTTGAATGTTGACGTAAACTTAAAATATCATTTTTGTTGTCCTTGTGAGTTGTGATAAATAAATTGATCCTTATTACCCTATAGGTTGTTTTACAAACATTGGAAATAATTTTGAAGGAAATTTTCTGTTGCTTGTTTACATAGGGCTTTAAGTGTCTTGTATCTTATCTTTTAGCCAAGCTTGTTTTATCAATATTTGATAATTGGGAAGACATGTATGAATATTACAAGTCTTGGAATTATCTTCATTGTTGTCTTGTTATTTGGATGATTATGTCCTCCATCAGTGGGCGTTTGTCTCTGTTACATGAACTTGGATACTATCTAGATTGTTAGGTATTGGAAGTATGGGTATGCTTCACGATTGATAGCTGGTTTCTGGGATTCTGAATGCAACTCAAATTTAAACTTTTCCTCTCATCTACACACACACACACACAATTTTTTATTTTTATTTTTTGCAATTTCCTCTCCACATATCGACATATACACAGTCTGCACACAGTCAAATATTGGCTTTAAGTATTCTTAGATCAATGTGAAATAGATAATGGCACATGCAATAAGCCGTTTGTTCTCATGCCATGTTAGTCTGTTAAGTACATGATTGTTTCCTTTGTCAGGGCAATGTTTATTATTTGATCTCATTTTAGTCTGACAAATGGTTCTTTGTCCACCCTTTTCTCCAAGGGTTTGTAATATATGCAAGGTTTGAATTAAACTTAATTTTGGAAACCAGAAGAAGACCCCATCTTTTTGCTTTTAGATTTTTAAAATTTATATTAATCGTTATGAAACTTTTATAATATCCGTCAGCCCCTTAGTATTTCCACCAAGTACATATTGCACTCATTTCAATGTTTAGTTGAGTGGAGGTGATAAATGACTTAAAATATTGGGGACATGTAATTTTGATGATTGAGTAAATTAAAGAGAGCACATGGCTCGCATTCTTTGAGGCACATCCTAGAAAGCAAAGTGTTGTAAACTGATGAGAAAGGACACTTTTTGTGTTGATATACTGTACAGTAATTAAGGTTTTTGTTGGAATTCTGAGAGGCAACTGGCTTTTATTAGGTTTGGTAATTGACCAATATTTTTTTGGGGGTAAGGCCAAAAACTAAACTGATATTGAAGCTGTACAGGCATTAAGGCTTTTGTTAGAATTTCTGGTGAAATTATTGACATAACTTAGGTGCGTTAACTGGCTAAAATTCATTGAAGGGTTTATTGGGATAACCGTCATTTGTTGGCTGTGGTTTATGTCTGTACGTGTTTATGTCTTCTGCTTAATTTGAGCAGCTATCTATTGCGCCCTCAAGTTTTTAGGCTAGAAGTATTACCATATAGATATTTGGGCTGAGGTTTTGACATCCGTTTTAAGAGTTACAACTCGTTTGAGTATGAATTGCCAAGTGTATGGGATTCCCTTCTTCCCTGTTACATTATTAAATGCAGTCTATGGTTGTTTTTGCTAATTTGTGTGGTGATATATTCTTATTGTGGCTGTTTGGTTGCAGAATTCAGCAAGCTATTCAAAAGGTTCACCCCCAAATAGCAGTTCGGGTAGATCTGTTGCTCTGCCGCCAGCAGCGTCATGGTAAGTTTCTTTCTTGCCTATTATTACTCTTTCTGTTCATTGTTTTTGATTTCTGTTTCTATATCAGGGGTGCACGTGTTTCCAATTGCAATCCTCCGTCTGTAAGCTTAGCTAGTTCAAATGGATCATCCAAGCAGAAGGCTGAGACAGTTCATGAGTCACCAGTGCTGGCAACAACTGTTTCTGACTTCATTTCCAGTGATAGTGGAAAGAAGCAAATGCTAAATGAAGAAATGAATGCAAATCAAGCTAAAAGTAAATTGGAAATTCCAGAAACAGTGAAGAACACTGGTAATAGTTCTCAAAGAAATGTTTCAGAGGTCTCTTCTACACTTTCAGTTGCTTCAGCTGGAAAGTCTGTAAGCCAGTCATCTTGCTCCCCAGCTATCAGTAGTGATATAGAAGGTGGTGAATGGCTTTTAAATGCAAATTCGTTAGACAGACAACCTTTTTCTTCTTGCGAAGACAACGGGAATTGTTCTGTTATGGACGGTAAAATTCAGAAACTCTGCTCTGATATATCGTCTATAAGCACTGACAAACAGCTAAATAGTGAACATTCTGAGGTCGTCGGACCTAATGGATTGACTTTAAATAATTTCTTATCCCCTAGAAATCAAGGTATACAGTGGCATGAGTCTGAGAGGCTTCAAGAACATTCTTCTGCTACCTCTAATAAACCTAGTACTATTAATTCTTTGACCACTCAAAAAGAAGTATTTGATTTGCGATCAGATATGCAACCTTCGGTTTTACAAAATATACCTTCAGAAACAGAAGATGATTTTAATAATCAAAGACTGCAGGATGCCATAGTCGTCAATCAGGCAGCAATACCCGCATCATCTCCACTCCATCTTTTGAGTCATTTAAGGGTTCCTTTACAGTCTCATGGTGGTGCTGATTGTGCAGGAAATTATACCGCTGCCCCTTCTATTGTAAATAGATTAAGTGATGAGTGTTTGACAAGTGTATCTAGTGCATCTGTTGCTCCTAATGGATTTTTAGACTGTTTTGTCAGCCATACTCCAGACCAGGATAGTTCTTTGCTATTTAAAGGTGGGCAAGAGAGTCGTATGGGAAGATTTGATGGTGAGCTTGGTTATGTGGACTCACAGCCTGCCCTGGATATGGGGGAAAACAGCATAATTTCAAACATACTGTCCTTGGACCTTGATTCTTGGGATGATTCTTTGACATCCCCACAAAATTTGGCCAAGTTGTTGCGTGAAACTGATAAACAAGAGGGTACGGTGAAACTAGCTGGTTCCTGGAAAGGTCAAAATAGCAATCAATCCAGATTTTCTTTTGCAAGGCAGGAAGACTCACGAAATCATTTATTTGACGTGGATCCTTCGCTTGGCAATATTGGTCTGGCAGCAAAGAATCCCCCTTTTGGACAAGAATTTCCTGGAATTAGAGATCCTTATCTTGATAGAATGGGTAATGGTTTTGAATTTCCTCATCGAAATATTGAGCTGTCGGATAATTTGACTAGTGGCCATTCCAATTTTTCTACCAACAAGCTTTCTTGTGAGTACCTATTGTGCCCTTTCTTTATTTGTGAAGTGGGGAAATTTAGGTTCTCTTATCATATATAAGTTGTTTGTCAATGTAACCCCTTTTTTTGTTTTCTTTTATGTTTATTTCTTAACATCTTGCTGACATAGTCTCTTTATCTGAACTTCAGTCTCTAGATCACAGATTTCAGCTCCACCCGGTTTTTCTGCACCAAGTAGGCCTCCTCCTCCAGGTTTTGCTTCACATGAAAGAAGTGATCAGACTTATGGCTTAATGAATTCTGGTTTGTTACTAAACTCCCATCTTCCCTCAAGACATCTTGAATTATTTGTCACATTTTAAGCATTTAAAATTTGTATATGTTATTACAGGAAACCATATGGTAGAGACCCCATCATTCTTGAGAAACCCTTATCAGGCACCACCAAGTGGAAACATAAACCCTGTGAATGATATTGAATTTATAGATCCTGCAATTTTAGCTGTTGGTAAAGGGAGGCTCCCTGGTGGGCTCAATAATTCCTCTATAGACATGAGGCAGAATTACCCTGTACAGCCGCCTGCATTTGAAAATGATTCAAGAATGCAGTTATTTATGCAAAGATCTCATTCACCCCATCAGAACCTTAGATATACTGATGTTAGGGATAACTTCTCTCCACCAAATGACGCATATGGCTTTTCCTCTCGACATATGGATCAGTCCCAAGCTAGTAATCATGTCCCTTTTTCACAATTTTCACTCCAGCAACAGCCTAGAAATACTGCAGTCTCTAATGGTACTTGGGATGATTGGAGTGAGCTGCAAGCTGCAAATGATATTGGTGTAGCAGAGCTCCTTAGGAACGATAGACTTGGTATTAACAAATTCTATGGTGGTTATGAAGATGCCAAGTTTCGAATGACCAATTCAGGAGATTTATACAACAGGAGTTTTGGGATGTGATTATCATCCTAATTCTTATGCCTGAGTGCCAATTTCTGTGGATGGAGACGCATAAATAACAGAGGATATCCTTTTACACAGGGGTGCAGGCAGTCTATTTTTTTTTGACTAGTCTCGTTGGGCAGCTTCACAGAGGAACACTTTATTTGAAGCTGGAGCTACAGCTGATGATGATATGGGATAGGAGGTGCAACGAATGGATGACCACTTGCTGTATTCTTGAGAGTGGTTTGTGATTGTTTGATATGTATTCCAACTGGATGTTATCTTCTATTTTAGTAGTAAAGTTGGAACCATGTCCTAGATTTGGCGTTAAATTTCACATGTGCTAAAAAGTGGAAGAGGATCCTTCTAAGCAACAGGTGATTATGTTTCTTTTCATTAGTTCGAGAAATTAGATATGCATCCTGTTTCTAGTTGTCTTTCCAAAATGTTGCATGTCATCAGTTTATCATCTTTTGTGCTTCTGTGCTTTTTCTCTGGGGCAGCCGATGTCTGACTGTTTTTACTACTGTTACTCGTCTGTTTATGTGCAACTGCAATGTTCACAGGCTGATATGAATATATAGTTATGCTTTAGGCATGTTATTGCTTGGTTGTTTGTACTAGGAATGGTTGAATACAAAGCACAATTTTTGATGATGAAACTTATGCAGATGTCTTTTATTTCAGGTTAAAGGTTGCTTGAGGGTGGGACACAAGCTATATATATACTGTACTGTCTGGTCCTTTATGAAACCATCCGTTCGGCTGTCTGCTCCTGCTCAGAACAATGCTCCAAAATTCTGTGAGAGATGGAAATACAAAATTTTTGCCCTTGGTAATGCATTAATTCTAATGGGTTAGTGCTGTTGATAATATGGTATATACTTTAATTAGCTTTATTTATAGTTCGTGAGCCCCCCCCTTTTTTTTGGTGTTTTGTGATATTGAATTGTCAAATGTGATTTAAAAGGATTTTTTGCTCATCAATTTTGACTTGATCTACATGTTTGTGTCTTGTGTAATGGATGAATTTTCCTTCTACAAAGTTGTGGAAATGCCAAGCTGACTGCCCTGCTGATTTGGGTTTTGGAGGTTGTCACCCAATTTGTCTCATTTCATGCTTAAGAAATTAACATGATGAGAAGTTATGCTTAAAATTGACCACTACCAAAGTGGTTTATGTGAGGCCTTTCATAGTAGGTTGTGCTAACTCAATTTCATCACGCGTCAATAAGATCAAGTTATGATTGAGTGTGATGGGATATTTTTAGCTCTAAGGTTTGATTGTAGGTTTGGATTTTTTTTTTTTTTTTTAAAATCTATTATATTACTCCCTCGGTTTCTTTTTAGTTGCATCACTTTCATATAACGGAAATTTCAAATTAGTTACATCACTCTGCTTTTTAGTTAATAAACTCTTTCTATCTCTCTCCTTTAACATGATTACATTTTTTTTATTCTCTCTCACATATCCACAAATTGACTAGGAGTCCATAATTTGCAAAGTGTTACAACCAAAAAAATCGAAGGAAATGAAATATCATGGTATCTCAGTTGTGTATGATATGATTTATGCTAGTGCATGAAAGTAATTTAATGAAGTACTAGTGGTTTATTATACATCTAATGAAAACATGGCATATTTTGAAACGAACATTTTTTTTTAAAAAAATAAAATCATAATGAGTTGTATTTTCTTAGTTGAGTTATGGTTGATTAATCAAATATGAATTTGAAATTGCAACTTGCGTTAGATAATGTTTCTGAAATTACATATTAATACTAAAGCAAATAGAGTTAATCGCCGCTTCTCCAATAATTAGATGAGCTCTGTGGATGCGCTGGCGATCCGCCTTATGAATATTGCAAACCTGAAACCCAGAGGCAGGTTGTAAAATCCTCCGAATGAGCCATATATAAGCGATATAACCTTGCCCCTCCCCTCGAAGTAGGGAGACCAGAAGATAGTAAACCTGGGCACGGGCCGGGTTGGCCCGCGTGCCGCCCGACACGGCCCGAAGTCAAGCACGGCACGACACGAAGTTCAACTTCCGTGCCACGGGCCGTGCCACGGACACGGTTGAGAATTCCCAGGCACGGCCCGGCACGAGCACGGGCATGGCCCGCCGTGCTGGCCCGCAGGCACGACCCGCAGGCACGGCCCGCAGGCACGGCCCGTAAGCACGGCCTGCGGGCCAACAGCTATAAAACGGCTAGTTTTTTGCCAAAAATTCTATAAATACTCACCTCCATTTCATTCCCAAATCACAAAATCACAATCTCTTCTTCTTATCTCTTATATTCTCTAAATCTCTAATAATCCTTATTTTCTTAAATTCTCTAATTATTCTCTTAAATTCTCTAATTATTTTCCTAATATCGGAAAAAATTAAAAAGTTCGTAATCGTAATTAGTGGAGCGTTGAAGCACGGTTGTAAGATCTAAACTAATCTTAAATTTATTATTGTTTTATTGTTATTATTAGAATAATCTTGTTTAATTATTATTGTTGTTAATTGTTATTGTTGTTGTTATAATTGTTGTTATTAATTATTATTATTGTTACAATTGTTGTTATTATTTATTTTTGTTGTTATTGTTATTGTTATAGTTGTTGTTATTAATTAATATTATTGATATTTTTATTGTTAAAATTGTTGTTATTAATTATTATTATTATAGTTAACCACTTTTTATTAAAAAATTAATTGTGAATTATGGCATCGAACAACCCATCATCTAGGTCTAGGGGGAAAGGCCGACTTATCCGTAGTAGTAGTTCTAGGGAACCACCAAATACAACGAGCCCCCAAATTACGAGTCAAACCAATGACCCCATTTACTTCCCCCCGGGCTATGAGCCATATAATACGTCGGGATTTCCAGCACCACCACTAAACCAATTTCCACTACCACCATACCAATTTCCACCTAATTATATCGGTAATCAACAAAACTATTGTTCTAGCCAAGGTAGCCAAGAAAGTACCCGAATTCCCTCCGGTTCTACCCCTTCTACTGCCACTCCCACTAGTCCCACTACTAACCATCACACACATCATGAATGGTTAACCGAAACTGAGATGCTACTTTTGAAAAACCGAAGGAGTGAGGTATGGCGTTATTTTGTCCTAAGTAAAGATGGTGAACAATGGGCAAAATGTAAAACATGTAATAGTGTATTCACGGCAGTTACCAAAAACGGGACGGGACACTTATCTAGACACATGAAAGCTTGTGCAAAACCAGCTAGTGATCCAACCCAGCCCAAAATTTCCCAATTCCATCCATACGGCTTTACATACAACTATGAGAGGGATAGGGATGAACTAGGAAAAATGATAGTACACGCCGAACAACCTTTTCTTTTCTCGGAAAGTGACGCATTCAACACCTACATTAACAAAGCACTACAACCCCAACATAAAAGAATCTCTAGGAAAACCGTTCGTTCCGCCGCAATGAAAAATTTCCTAGAGTACAAAGTTCGGTTACAAGCCGAATTGAGTAACCTTAACTGTAGAGTATCTTTAACAGCCGATTCTTGGGATAGTGGTTATAAATATCACTATTTATGTGTGACTTGCCATTGGGTAGATGATCAATGGATGTTACAAAAAAGAATAATACATTTCAAAATGCTGGAATACCCACACACCGGCATTAACATTGCTCACCATTTAATGCAAGCAATAGACGAATACAACCTTCGAGATAAAATGATGTCTATGACTTTTGATAATGCAACCTCTATGACATACACAACTAATCTTATCAAACAAAACTTAATCGATGTACTATTAGACGGTGAAGCTCTTCATACTAGATGTGTTTGCCATGTACTTAACTTATGTGTACAGGATGGAGTTCGGGCAATTGGCCCATACTACAGCAAAATCAGAGATGCTATTATGTCTATTAATAGCTCTAACATGAGATACCAAGAATGGAAGAGTTTTCTAAAACAACAAAAGATAAGGGTAATAAAAATTAGAACCGATTGCCCAACTAGGTGGAATTCCACCTATGACATGTTAACAAAGGCAATTGAGTACAAGGGCCCGTTAACATTATTTTACAACCAAAAATTTCCACAAAATGCTTTGTATGATGATGATTGGAAAAACTGTGAAAGATATATGCAATTTTTACAGTTATTATATAACATGACGTATTGTTTTTCTACTGTTTACAATCCTTGTGCTCAAAACTTTCTTTCTAATGCATGCTTACTCGCCCAACTTTTCGCTGATCATCGCGATCAAAGTGATTATGATCAGTATCTTCCAGCAATGGAAAAAAAGTGGCGTAAATATTATAGTGAGATTCCTTTGATTTATATTTTTGCTTCCATATTAGATCCTAGGCAAAAGTATGAAAACACATTTATGTTAGTTGACATTTACTTTCAATGCATGTTTCTTGACGATGATGTAGAAAACTATAAGACTAATGTGAAGGATCAGTTTTTTGCTTTATATAGAGTCTATGAAGCCAAATATGGCACCGTTCCTCGCTCAGGGCCTTCCCAACCATCCAAAAACGTAAGTAAGAAGGCCAAACATTTATTTTCACAAGCTACTAACTTGATTTCAAGGTTTTCAGGTGATTCATCAATCAGGAGAACGCAAAGCGACGTCTCGGAGTTGCAGATGTACCTGAGTTACGACTTCACCAAAGGCATGGACGACGATGAGATAAACAGCCTCGACCTCCTTGCATGGTGGAAACAACAAAGCTCGAAGCATCCAACTTTGGCGGCAATGGCACGAGACATTCTTGCTATCCAAGTTTCCTCCGTCGCCTCTGAACGAGCTTTCAGCGCATCCGGAAGGGTTTTAGACGATAGAAGAACAAGTCTAAAACCCGAAACACTAGAAATGTGCGTGTGTTTCAAAGATTGGTTGGATGCGGAAAATCGCTCACAAGACCGTTCTTACGACCACAACGACAACGAAGAAGGAACCTCCGCTTCCGGTTCGGGTTCGGCTAGTTCCCAATCTATGCAACTAGCCGATGACCTTGAAGGCGAAGGCGAAGACGAAGACGAAGACGAGCAAGAAGAAGGAGAAGAAGAATAGACAATTATTGTATATTGTACGATTTTAAAAATATCAATTTTATCATTTTCCAATTTTTGTTTAATACCATCATTGTATGATTTTTATCATTGTTATCATTGTACAATTTTCTCAACTCAAGTAATAATAATATAAAGTACGCATTATTCACATCCAAAGTCTAATTTGCCTTTTTTCCCCGTTTTGTTACAATTTGTAAATTCATATTAAAATAAAATAAAATTATACCAATTACTAATAAATCATAAACATTAAATTTTAAAGTAATAGTATAAAGTAAATATATAAATATAAATATTGAATATACAAATTATAAAACATAAATATTCAACTTATAATTATAAAATTCATAACTTAATAACTTATAACTTATAAGTTATAAACTTATAAGTTACCTTATAAAACTTATAATTATAATTTTATAACTTATATACATTATAAACTTATTAATTTATAATGTTGTCATTAAAAAAAAAAAAAAAAAAAAAAAAAAAAAAAAATGAAAACTGCACCAGCCCGCAGGCCGGCACGTGGCCGGCACGGCACGAGCCCGCCAGGCACGAGGGCCGTGCCGTGCCGTGGGCTGGCCTGTGAAAATGGCCGGCACGGCACGGCACGAAATCCTGGGCCCGCCGGCACGACCGGCACGGCACGAACCAGCCCGTGGCCCGCCAGGCACGGCCCGCGGCGGCCCGGCACGGCACGGTGCCCAGGATTAGAAGATAGGAATCCTCGATCCAACGCCCATTGTAGCCCATACATGCAAGCCAACGCCTTCGCATCATGTAAAGCCGAGGAACAAACTCCGAAGTTACTTCTTCCACTGATCCGATCATCCAGTGGGTCATCATTATCCAAGCACCATCCCATTGTTGCTCGTCGAGAATCTTTGAACTAAGTGCCATCTATTTGAAGAGAGAGTAAAGCACTCCCATGGGGAGTCAGGCCAAGCTGAGCCATGTAAAAACCAGTCGGTGAAGAGGCACCGCCATCTGTCGCCGTAGTAGTAGGGATACTA